GATAGTTGGTCAGTGCAATTCGATACTGGTGCTGTTCATAGTGGCCCCCCTCATCCTCAATGTAAGAGGCCATGCGGTCCGACAAGCCCCGGGGAAAGTCTCCTTTTGGCTCGTATCCAATGAGTGTCTCATAGACACTAGGCGCTTCAAATTCTTCAAAATATCGAACACAGTTAAGCCAGTTCCTTGGGCGGCAGGGTCCGAGACAGCTGCAGGATTGGGTTTTCACGCTCAGTGGTTGTGTGAATGCAACCCACGACTCGAGCAGCGCACGCCACTGTTTTGTCCGTCTCATGCAAAGCTGGCGCTGACGACCTTGATAGAAGGACGGCTTCGGCAGAATATCGCTGATGTGATCGATATCTCCCTTGAATAGTCTCCTTAGCAGTAATATGTCCGGGTCTTGCGGGACTTGGGGCATTAAACGTCTCTCCTTGTTCAAGGTGGCTTCTGTGATCGGAGTGCCCCAATCCGGCACCCAAGACGGGAGCAGAGACCGGATCGGAGAGTCTGTGTATCCCTCATGGATCAGCCACCAACCTTCACGAAACATATAAGTAGCGGTCTTTATGTAGAGGGCGCGGATTGACAGATCATAGTCCACCGTCGTCTGTTTCAAGAATTTCTTGCGGTCTGTGCTGATACCAATATAGGCGAAGATCATGTCTCTCGGCTCGGTCGTTTCGCAGCCACATCTGAATTTCAACACATCGTGGAGTGTCCCGGAATTTGGATTCGCCTGGCTGAACTGCCTTCGCTGATTCTCCATCTTATGGAGAACTGCAAGGCTGGAAGCACAGCTATTGTAACGCGGGTACGAAGCCCTCAGATGATGCTCTGCGGCTTCTACGAAACTGCAGAGTCCCGACCACCGCACTCTTTTTCGTCCGCATTGAACCCATGGAACTTGAGAGCGAACTAGTTCTTGAAACACCCATGCACGGCGGAACCAGGGTCTCATCAAGACGTCGACGGCAAGAGCTTCCAGGACCGAGGGCAGGTCCCTTGCATCTTCATCCTGAAGTTTGAGTAGAGGTATACTCTTCGGGCCCATTGACGCCGCAGCATCAAGTATTTCTGCTGCTAACGGAGTGAGGCCCCCGAGGTAGATGATTGTGTTGCTTGCACTGGAGTAGATGTCTTGCATCATCGTGACTTGATGGTTCCGTTCCTTGGTGTTCTTTTGGTCTATGCATATAGCATCTGCCCATAGACGATGTACTCTGGAGGGGTCCCGAATATCTCGCAACGCTGCCGATAGGTTGGCTGTAATTGGACATTCGCACCCGTCGAGGAGGATCATGTCTACCGGCGTCGGGTCACCCCAGACATAAGATAGAGCAGTGAAGAAGCCTTCTATCAAGTCGTTCGAGTCAGAGCTGAAGGTGGTGGATTGGAGTGAACCTCGAAGAACGGCGTCTCGGTCGATAGCCGGCTCAAGGCGGAGGACCCTGAAGCCATTGGCCTCCACGATGGGAGGGTGAATGAATGGTGGTGACATGGGCCTAGTCTTCACAGGCCTGAACAGTATGAAGTCGTCGAAATTTCCAAGCTGCCATAGGTAGATATCGCAACGTGGCATAATCGAAGGGGCTGCAGAGGCAGGCTGCCCAACCCCGGCCAGGCAGCCACGACCTGTCATATCTTGTGCTGCACGTTCTGATTGGGCCCGTCTACAGGTCATCACGTGGACGACCACATCAAAGGCCTTGCTTGGTTCACGAAGTGTAGACCTGATTCCTCGATGCCAGTGCCATGGCATAAGCAGTATGAGAAAGTCACGAATTGCGGGATGATGCCACGGGTATTCCCGGTGTGCCAGCTTCACCCGGCCTGATACTTGTGGGCGGCGAGTCCAGCCAAGTGATATTCGAGTGATGAAGGGTATCAATTCTGTGATGTCTCAACCTCAAAATTCCGTGGTGGCGCCTCTGCCAATCCCGTAAAGCAAGGCGCTGCGCTAGAAATAACATCACGCCCATATGATACTATCATATTCGATCCCACGCTTGAGGCAATCGACCGGCCGCCTCGGCCAAGACCAAGATAGAGCTCACTCACTACCTATTCGATGCTCATGCGCATGATTCCATCGTGGGTATCGCTCATGCCCTGGAATCCTACCCGGCCCTTACCCCCGGTGCTGAGATGGCGGCCATTACTCGCCGGGTTGGCACTGTTGTTACCAGCCGAGCTGCCGTTCTCGCTGGGGGTTGCCGACGCTTTGTCTCCACCGTGCGTGCTTCCCGGGCGGGAGCCCCACGGAGCCATGTCTCGCTGCAGCGGGCTTTGCATGATCGGCGAGTTGTGGACGCTCATGCCGGGCGATACTGCTCTGCGCTTGAAGCTGTGCGGATCGAAGTCATCGTCTCGACGGCGCTTGTTGTTGATGCGCCGAGTGATTTCCGCGGCAGTCGGAGGCGCACTTCCCCCTTGTGAGGGAGTTGTGGCAGCTGCTTGTTGGGGTGTGTCCGATCGTTGGCTGTCGCTTGCGTGCCCTCCAAGGGGATTGCCAGGCCCGAGACCAAAAACACTGTTGTTCCCGGATCCGGCAGAGAGTGACGGCGAGTCCATGTTAACGTCTTCACTGATGCCAGAGGAGGAGCCTCGGGGCATGAAAGCAGGGGGTGGTGGGGTCACCCGTGTACCGTTAATACTGCTCGTCTCCGAAAACGTCTCCCAAAAGTTCTTACCCTTCGAGTTCTTCATGACCTGCTGCTTGAAGCTGCTCGACATAACAGAATCGGTCATCATGTCGTCTTCAGGTACATCGTCCAGCCCTTCTTGGTTCGGACCAAGAGTTGGCGAAGATGGTGCAGTGGAGGCATTGGCTATGTCTATAGGAGCAGGTGGTCCCGAAGATACGCGAGGTTCCAGATCAACATCGCTTTCGCGGACCTGGCGAATGACTTCGGCCTCGCGACGTACTTCACAGTCTACCGGAGTATTTTCCTCAGCAAGTGCTGCACGTATACGCGCGAACCCTTTCGTTTTCGGCTGAGACACTGGTAAGCACTTGGATAACACGATTCTGGGGAGTTGCTTACAAGAAGATTGCCCCTACGGGTGACTACTCGCTTGATCACCCCGCGGACGCCCTCCCGAGTTGGTGTTGACGGTACACCATCACCCGCATCCATCGCTCTCTCGTCATTCTCGCTGCTCGATATATGCAACTGGTTCGCCGCCCAACTAATGCTTTCTCGACGCGGGTGACCAAGGGGGTTCTCTCTGCGCTCCTTGGCCATGTTCGTTGGTGGTGATTTGGACAGAGCCGGAGGCGCTGCAGCGTTGAAGCCCATTCCTGCCAGGATCTTGGACTTCTTTTTGGGCTTCCGGGGTCGCGTCCGAAAACTGGACAGACTATTGATAGCTGGAGATGTGCTGGAGATCCATGGCGCTACACCACTGCCGCGGATATGTGACTGGGTTTTAGCCACCTGCGGCGTAGTCATGATCGCATCCTCCATCTCTTCATCCATGAAATCGTCATCGTCGGAGCTAGAGGAGGAATCTGAGACCAAAGGATTGGCACTGCCTACAGATGTCGAGAGGTTCATACGCTCCTGGTTCCCCATCATGGACCACAAGCTCGTCGAAGACTGCTCGGCCATGTGATCACCGCTGCCGCGTCCGGGAATATTCATGGCGCGCCCGCCAATGGTGGGGGACGAGTCGGGCGAAGATTGCTCGGCCAGCGTGGAATGATGTAGACTGGTGGCTGCACGCGAGAAGTCGAGGCCGCGCGATCGGCGAGGTAGGATGTTGGTTGGGGAGGCATAAATCTGGGAGTGGTCGAGCTTCGGAGACAGTGGAGTGGGTTTGATGTATGGAGAGGGCTGCGCAGGCGGAGTGGCATCGCGCTGGGGCATTTGGAGTGACAGACCGCGCATGGGGAATTCAGGTCGACTGGGTGTGACGGGAGTATTCGTGTCCTGGTTCCTATTGTTCCCTATTGCGCTATCATCCTTAGATGTCCGCCTCGAGAATTCGCCGATGTGTGGTGATGGCGATAACGGCGCGCCGCCACCGTCAGATAAGCTCCTAGCCTTCGAGGACCTAGGCGACTTTTCAAGCATCCGAACACCGCCTCTCCCGCTTGTCGCTCCGTTCCCGCCCTTCATCTCTTCGTCCATGACGGCTACCTCGTCATACTCGAGCCTCGCCATACGACTCCGACAATGCGATTCCGATGCCGCTGGCGAATCGTTGTGAACTTAGGGAATTTCGGGTATCGATGATGGTTTGAGTGTGCGAGGAAGATACGACGACAATTTGTATGAAGGGAAGGACCTTCGAATAGAGTGGTCGCTCTTCGCTGGCAGTCGGTTGGGTCGGGATGTATGGCTATAGTTGGTAATGGCGGAGTTGTTGTGTCAACTATCGTTTATCAAGACAATCCGGACCTACCACATTTACAATCACAGAAGAAGCGTTACTGCAGAAGATGGGCAAGGAATACTGTTGAAGAAGACTTCGAAGCTGTTCCGCAGTGGATGCAGATGCGAAAGTGTATTTGGCATAGCATGCCTAAGGTTCGGGACGAGATGGGGACCTCAGTAACGAGGGATACCTTACAGTCAGAACCGCGATTGGCCCGTGACGTCGGGGTCGCGCTTGTCGCGCGGCTCTGCTGGTGCAACCTTGCAAGCTGGCAGTCACGCTTACTGGCGGCCCAGTTTTGATATCCCACTCGATCCCTAAAAATACCTTAGCCCAAATCCTCAACGAGTTGCATCTTTCAATTGACAGCCATGACAGCCTTGGATAGCATCCCATTGCGGTCAGTGTTCAACTTGATAGCGACTGGTCTTCATAGTCACGTACCCCTCTGATATTATATCTCACATCAAGCTCAAAATCGCCACTTTCTCTTGAATCCCACGACCATCAAAGCAATTCTTCTAAGACGGCTACCACTGGGCATCCACACAACTCCGTCAGCTGCCTGGTGGTGTACTAGCGTCTGATAAGCAATCCCCGTCAGCTCGGTTACCTCATCCGCATTGGTGTAGGGGTTAACATTTCACGTTTTCAGTCCAAGGTCTTGGGTAGAAGTACCGTGAAGCCCGGGGTTCGATTCCCCGATGCGGAGTTTATTTTTTCACGTTGCCGACGAAATCAAAGTCCTCTCTGTTTCTTTTTAGTCGCTGCATCGCGACTGCGTCGTTTTGCTTCCAGCATGTCAAAAGCGGCCGCCGAAATCCGTTTTGCTCCTCGCATCTTTCTTTTCTCCAGGAAAACTTGCGACCCACGAAGAGTTGTGGTAACCTATTGTCACGAAGGATTCAAGGCAAGCTCGTCTGAAAAAAGGACGACTAGTCTGCATCACCAAGGCGTTGAGCGTGTCTGCGAACGAAGTTCAACGGCTGTCCTAGAACTGGATGCACATGAGGACACTAGGAACCTGAGGGAGCTGCCCGGCTAAGGCGCGTTGCTATTGCGCGAGAGCCAAATGAAGTATAACGATATTCTGTCATTGAGTGTCGTCCGGTGGCATGTCCCAGGTCCTTAGTGGCCTCCCCTTCTCTTTTCGCTTGCCGAGAGCGACTGTCCCCCCTCCAACAAAATTGATGACCCATTCTCGGACCTTTCTCGTCTTCGCTAGTTGAGGATGAGCGGCTCGCGTTGATGCAATATCTTTTATGCCGTACAGTCCTCCTCGGTCTGTCGCGTCGAGTTTCTTCCGGTAAAGCAAGTCGATTTTAGTAAGACCCTTTCTCAAGCTGTGCCCATGTACCTTCTTCATAAAGCAACCCAAAGCAACGTTTCTGAGTAAAACGATATCTTGTCGGCGAAGACCCGTCAGGAGCTGGTTTGCTTTCGGATATTCTGGTGACAGCCAGAAAGTCACGGTGAAGCCGGAGCTCGTCTCATCTCCGACGATCAGCTCGATCAAAGACTTGGTTGAGCCCCAGCGCGTCTGAACCTTGCGCGGCTCAGCAATGGATATTACTCCCACGATAAGATTTACAGTCATCGTTTGGGGAGAGATGGAGTGCAGATACGCAGCATTCGGTATGTCTTCTAGGTCGCTTAGGTGGCCGGAGTCGATTGCTGCAGGCTGAGTTGCAGGACGAGACTCGCCACTCAGTGTCATGAGTTCGGTACTCCTGTCCTCACTCACTTCCAGTGATGACTCGTCGGTGGTATAGGTAACTGAAGGCAGCTGAGACGAGGGGATGTCATCGTGAATAGCGAGCGAATGATCGTAGAACCGACTCAGGACTGTGTGGCTTGGGCCGTCATCCGTGAGCATGGACGTGCGGTCGTGGTATCCGGACAGAGATGTGAAGAATTCCGGGTTGCCACGGTACATGTCATTGCATTCGTGGAGTTGGGAGAAACCGGTGTGCAGCCGCTCTCTGTCCAGAGGAATTGACCTCCACACAGCCGTATCAGCGCCTGGGCTGGATGTACTCTGAGCTGCGTTCGCCGAATCCGATGCCTGCTCTAAGCCAGCAAATGTTGCAATCGGGGCCGTGAAGTCGCTGAGGAGTCCGGTACTGTCCCATTCAAGTACGTCGTTTGAAGGCGCACCAGCAAAGATCATGATTTTCCGCGCCATCGTGACTTGTGTTCGCCTAGCAAAGAAAGCATGGTCCGGTTCGGTGGGAGATGGTGTGTAGCCCTGTGGTCGAAACAGCGTAGAAGACGAGTAAATGATATAACAAGGTATGCGTATCTTTCGAGAGCAAATCTGCGAAGCAAATATATAGCAGGCCACGAAACAGACAATGCAGTGTAAGATATTGGAACCGACGGTTGCCAGTCTTAAAGTACAGGAAGCTCATGAGGCTTGACGGCGGAACGGCTTGAACGGCTAGGTTGGATTGCCTGGTAAGCTGCTTGGCTGGTTTGGCAGGGCCCACCTTTCCCTGCGCTTGTTGTTGGGGTTGCGTCGCAGCCCAATCAAGGTCGGGCTGACTGGGGTCTGCGGGGGCCAGGTTTGTTTACTTCAGCGGAGAGCGGCGGTCGCTGGTCGCACAGGAAACTTTCCGCTTCTAGTACAGTACCGTCTCCCACCCGCTGTCCTTTCTTTTGCTTTGCAGCATATCCTCCTCACCTTCGCGCAACCATCACGACTTGACTTGCTTATGAGCAGCGGCAAACAGCCTCACGCGACTCTGCGACTTCGCCATTATGTCCCAGGACACGGGACTCTGGAGCGTCCGCCGACCACGAGAGGTATGATAGTGACTGCGTCGCATGCGCCCAGTCCCCGTCCTCGCGCGCTGCCCCGACCGAGCCCGCGCCTAGTTCGATCCCGACTAACCCAGCTATTGTCGTGCTACAGACCCTTGGGGGCATCAACCTCAACTCTGCCATTCCCCAGCCCGCCTCCACCATGAAGAGATCGCACTCGAGCACCGGCAACCACGCCGGATTCTCGGGCGGCCATGTGCGCTCCATGTCGGGATCTAGGCACTCCCTCGCCCTCGGCCGCCCGAGCCAGCCCGTCTTTTCGCGTTCCTCCTCCGGTACCAACCTGGCCGACATGGGCACCGGCATGGGCATGGGCATGGGAATGTCCTCCGTGAAGCGCGCATCCTTCCAGAATCCACCACCTTCCGCTCTCAAGAGTTATGGCTCAAGCGGCGGCCCCGCGGCACGCAAATCCGAGATTGAGCGCAGAAGCAGCGTCTACCACCGGCGCCCTTCGAGCAACGGCCCCATGAGCCACCAGAGCGTCTTCCAACAAGCACCCCAGGCTGCCGGTGTGCCGAAAGATCCGCGACCGCTGCGAGACCGTTCGTTCCAAGCCCGCATCGGACAAGAACTTTTGGAATACCTGACCCAACACAACTTTGAAATGGAGATGAAGCACACTCTCTCCCAGAATATCATTAAGAGTCCGACACAGAAGGACTTCAACTACATGTTCCAATGGCTGTATCACCGAATCGACCCAAGCTACCGATTCTTGAAAAACATCGACCAAGAGGTGCCGCCTATCCTCAAGCAACTCCGATATCCTTACGAGAAGAGTATCACTAAATCGCAAATCTCCGCCGTCGGTGGTCAGAACTGGAGCACATTCTTGGGCGTGCTGCACTGGATGATGCAGTTGGCTCAGATGCTCGAAGGATACCAGTGCCACCGCTACGATGATGCCTGCATAGAGAGCGGCATTAACGTTACGAACGATCACATCGTCTTCGACTTCGTGAGCACCGCATACCATGACTGGCTTTCCATGGACGAAGCCGCCGACGATGAGGATGTCGCCAAGGTTCTGGCGCCGCATGTCGACGGCTTGGCGAAGGCATTCGAGCGTTCAAACGAAAAGTACCTACCTGAACTAGAGATGCTTGAAGCGGAAAACGCCAGGCTGGTCAAGGAAATAGAGGAGCTGGAGAAGTCGACCCCGGATCCGCAAATCCTCGACAGCCATTTCAAGATTATGGAAGAGGACAAGGTCAAATTCGAAGAGTACAACGCGCTCGCCCGGTCAAGATCTGAGAAATACGAAGGCCGAATACAGGTACTCCAGGAAGAGCTCGACAAGTTACTGGAGGAGCTGAACGAGGCCGAGACCGAACGCCGGAACTTACAGAAAGAAGTCGACGACCAAGGGATTAGCATGCAGGATATTGACCGCATGACCTCGGAACGTGAACGACTTCAGAAAGGCATCGAGTCTGCGGTGCAGCGACTTGACGAAGGCAAGAGGCGAGTCGCAGAGAAGGAGATGGAGGCCAGCCAGAAGCTCGATGAACTCGAAAGGCTAGTCGACAAGTACAACACCGTCGCTTACCAGATAGGCCTCATCCCAGCGACCGCTGTCAATGCCAAGGGCGCGGAATACGAGTTGGCGGTGACGGTGAACGAGTCGGACTTCACCGGCTCTATCATGAAGGGCTCTTACTCGGGCGGCACAGGGAGTGAACGTCTGCTCGCAGATCCAGTGACGGGGTACCAACCAGCGCACATCTTGAACCTGGACCTGCGCGGGCAAGTTAAGAACAGCTTCGTGGCGCTCCGAAGAGAGATATCTGAGCGGCGGAGTGAGGCTCAGGATGTTATGATGAAAGACCATGATCTCCTCGACGGTATTAAGGAGGCAATCGAAGACAAGCGAAACGAGGTGGAGGCCTTGGAGCACCGCGTCAGAGCTGCCGAAGAAGAATACGAGAGGACGAAAGAGGTATGTGATATACGAGCAGTCGAACTATGTTGGTCGGTTGAGAAGTACGCAGCTAACGTTCAAACAGGTCACGACAACACAGAAGTTGGCTTCAGATGCGCAGATCGAGAAGATGGAGAAAGAGCTGGCCAAGATGCGTGCCCAACTCACCGAGTCTGTGCAGCTGATGGAGCAACGAGAAATGAATACGAACATAGAGTAGGGGAAAAAGCAGTTGAACCCTCGGGATAAAGGAGCAGTCTTGCTAACATGACAACCAGGTATGAACAGTTGACCCTCCGCGCCAATGCGCTGCGGGAGGAGCTGCACACGGAGATCGAGAGGATGTTGAACGATATTATCAAGTTCAAGGTGCACATCCAGAAGAACTTGGAGGACTACGAGGAGTTCGTCAACGACGAGTTGGTAAAGGAGATCGGCAGTGAGGAGGAGACCAAGGAAGATACCCCTGAGGACGAGCTATGATGGACGTCCGCGTGGTTGGTTGATTCTGCGAATTGTTGCGTTGCATGGCGTTCCGGCTGGGTTGGATGAATGTCACGATGATGCCCCGGAGATGATATATCCTTGAAGGAAAGCTGTATTGCATGCATGGTGCTTGTTGTATAATCAGAAACTTCCAATGCCTAAGGTTCTTCACTGCAGCGTTCCATGGCATATGAAAATGACGTGAGTGGGGTACCCTACCTTACCTGGCCTGGAGCTCCGAGCTTGAAAGTTGAAACCCCACCAAACCGACCACCTCCGCTAAAGTGCGGACGGTTCCGTACCGTGAACCACCTCATCCTCCAAACACCACCTCACCCGTGGCGCGCGACCTCGGGATCCCGAACCTCCAGCTCGATGTGCCCAATGACTAAGGTATCTTAGTTCAACGAATTCAGCAGCAGCAGCAGCAGCAGCAGCAGCAAGCCTTCTTCTTCTTCTTCTTCTTCTTCTCCGTCCTT